GTTTGCTGTTGACTTTCACTATATTTTCTACTTTCACCACATTTTCTTTTAACAACAGTTTTTATTCCATTTATTTACATTTAAAACCGGATAAAAAGCTGCTGGTTTGCTTTTGACTTTCACCACATTTTCTTTTTGAAACAGCTTTTATTCCGTTTATTTACATTTAAAATTGGAATAAAAATTGCTTGTTTGCAGTTGACTTTCACCACATTTTCTTTTAACAACAGCTGAAAATTTAAAGTTGGTATTTTACGCTAAATATTTTAATTTTACAGCTTGATTCAGGAACCAGGTGGCTCAGAAGCTAAAGGAAGAAAATCTAAATAGTTAAATATTAAGAATGAACCGTCGATTACGTGCATGCAAATGAGAAAACGGCCCGGGAGACAAACGGAGAGCAGCTTTAGAGGGAAAAGAGGGAAACGTGGGTCTGAAACCCTGTTTTTTCTGCTTCCAGCTGAACTGGAGCCCGACACATAAGGACCTCGAACAGTGCTCCATGAAGGGCAAGAAAATGGCAAGTGGTCGACACACAAACTGACACCAAACTGAAAACAGGGAACAAAAAAAAGCAAAAAAAAGCAGAGTAACGCGGTGATGTAGATGTCTTAATTTTCAGGTTTGAATGTATTGTAGGTAAAGTTTTTCTCTATTTAATACAGTAGAACATCTGCTTCCGAAGTGAAATTTGATCAAATATTCGACTCGACACCCAAAGTACATTTCCAACATACGTTGTATGACGTCAAAGTTATAGAAAAAATTGTATAAAATGTAAAAATTAAATAAAAATAAATAAGCTACGTTAGTTTAAAGTTCAGGTAGTGAAAGTTAAAGTTAGGGTTTCATCCCGTATCTCAGTCTCTACCTGCCAATAAAAACCCTTTTTATTGATTATTTATTTATAATTTATTTCTTTTCATATCTCTCTTATATAAGTCATTTGTTTTATTGCTACGTTTAATTATCTGCAGTATTTATTAAGGAGTTATCGTAGGTTTTTGGAACGAATTATACAAATTACAGTGTATTCTGCTGGGAAGATTTGAACCAACATACGAATATTTTAACACAGAAGTGGGTTCTTCTGTTTACATAAAGTTTTACTGAAACCACTAACTTTGTGACCCTTGTATTTTTTCTCTTTAAGGACGACTGTTCGAATTTTATCCGCGTGCTTCAGTTTTACAACTCCAGCCACATTTATGCCTGTGGGACGTTTGCCTTCAGCCCGCGCTGCGCCTACATCGTAAGTGTCTTTATCCAACCTGGCAACCCTGGAAGGAAGCACTGCCCTTCTCCCTTTGCCTCCAACCTGGCAACCCTGGAAGGAAGCG